CTTAAAAACCAACATTAGGACTGGATATTGGAGGAGTAACATCAGAACTTCAACTAAGACTGAAATTCTATTGATCCTGAACCTGGAGTTTTTGTTTGTTTGTTTGTTTCTTGTTTGCTCATCTCTCCCTGTTGATTTCTTTGGGGGTTTTTTTGTTTATTTTGTTTTGTTTTTTGTTGATTTTTTTTTTGTTGTTTTATCACTGTAGATTAGTTAATACTAAATTACACCCAAACCAGGGAGAGAAACAGCACACACACAATTAGCTAAAAACTTAATACAGCTACAAAACAAAATTTAACCACGGGAAAGAAAACAGGTGACTGAAACCACCAACTAGCCTATCAAGACCAGATACACAATACCAACAGGAACAATGGGAAGAAGAAAAAGGGATGGAAACCATTCACTCCAAAAAAATAATTTAATACAGGATTCAGAGGGAAATGAAGAAAATGGATACCCAATTCCAGATGCCAACAAAACAAAGATAAACAATGCCAAGGAACTCAATGATGTCCACAAGAACACCCTTAAAGAAGATATCCTGCAAGTAATCACTGAAGATTTCATGGAGATGATACTAGACATGGTTAACCAAAATGTACAAGAGACACTCAAGAAATGTGAAGACAAGAAAAACAAAGAACACAAGAAGACATAGGAACAAATAAGTGAAATCATAGGAGCCCTAAGTAAACACCAAAGTGAAACAGAGAACACAATAAATAGGGAGATAAATGAATTAAAGACGAAAATAGACAATATTATATCGGAAGGGACCCATGATATGGAAAACCTCAGAAAAAAGAAAGAAACAGAAACACAAAACACATGGAAGGCCATTCCAGCTGACTAGAATAAGCAAAGACAGAATCTCAGAACTTGAAGATGAAATGGAAATTCAAGGAAAAACTGAAGAGCTATTAATCAAACAACTCAACACCTGTGAAAGGAATATGCAAAAACTCACTGACTCCATCAAAAGACCAAACCTGAGAATCATGGGCATTGAAGAAGGAGAAGAGGTGCAAGCAAAAGGAATTCATAATATATTCAATAAAATAATAACAGAAAATTTCCCAAATCTAGAGGAAATTATGCCCATTCAAGTACAGGAAGACTACAAGACACCAAACAGACTTGACCAAAATAGAACTCCCCATGACACATTATTAAAACAAGCACAGAGAACAGAGAAAGAATACTGAAGGCCATAGATAGAAAAAACAAATAATATACAGAGGTAAACCCATCAAAATCACAGCAGATTTCTCAATGGAAACCTTGAAAGCAAGAAGGGCATGGAGTGAGGTTTTCTGGGCACTGAATGAAAATAACTTCAAGCCTAGGATATTCTACCCAGCAAAACTATTATTCAAAATAGATGGAGTAATGAAAGTTTTCCATGATAAGCAGAAACTAAAACAATATATGACCATCAAGCCACCACTACAAAAGATTCTTCAAGGAATTCTGCACACAGAAAATGAAAGCAAACAAAACTATGAAAGGACAGGCAGTACCAAACACAGGAGAAGAAAAGGCAAGAAAGTAGAGAGTAACAATGATTCAGCTACACACAATCAAACCCTTAAACAACAAAAACAACTAAATGACAGGAATCACCACATACCTATCAATACTAACAATGAATGTTAACGGACTTAATTCCCCCATCAAAAGACACTGCTTGGCAAACTGGATTAAAAAGGAAGACCCAACAATCTGTTGCTTATAAGAGATCCATCTCATTGACAGAAACAAGCACTGGCTTAGGTGATAGGCTGGAAGAAGATTTACCAAGCCAACAGCCCCTGAAAACAGGCAGGAGTAGCAATACTTATCTCAGACAAAGTAGGCTTCAAACTTACACTGATAAAATGAGATAAAGAAGGACAATCCATATTAATACAAGGGGAAATACACCAAAAGGAAGTAACAATTACCAACCTATATGCACCCAATGTCAATGCACCCAATTTCATCAAACATACTCTGAAGGACGCTTAAAAAACATATTTTTACAGACTCCAACACAGTGGTAGTGGGAAAACTTTAATAACCCTATCACCAATTCGATAGGTCAGCCAAACAAAAAAAATCAATAAAGAACTTTCTAGAACTCAATCACACCCGCAACCATAGATCACATGGACCCTAGCTGGATGGTCTATAGAAATATTTCTTCCACTTCTTGTATCAATATACATTCTTCTCAAACAGCCATGGAAACCTTTCTCCTAAACTGATCAATGTCCTAGGGCACAAACGCAAGCTCGGCAAATATAAGAAAGAATCAGGAAATCCTCCCATGGCTTCCTATCTGAATCACAATGCATTAAAACTAAAACTCAACAACAAAAAAACAACAGTAAAAAACAGGCAAGACAATTGGAAGCTGAACAACACATTGTCAACTGCTCAATGGGTCATTGACTGCAATAAAAGAGGAATTAAAAGGTTCTGGAAGTTAATGAAAATGCAAACACGACCTACCGCAACCTATGGGACATGCAAAGGCAGTCCTAAAAGGAAGTTATAAGCCATGAGTGCATACATTAAAAGAACAGAAAGATCCTCAAATCAATGACATTCAAACTCTAGAAACAAGAATCAGCAAATCAAACAAGCAGAAGGAGAGAAATAGTAAAAATAAGGGCCGACAATAGGAAAAGGGACAAAGGAACTAGAGAAAAGGTTTTAGATAAAAAGATTAACCTAGAAGGTACACCACGCACAGGAAATCAATTGTTGGTCAATGCCCCCTGTAATAGCCTATCCTTTATCTCAACCAGCAAAACCCCTTGTTCCTTCCTCTATTGCTTATACTCTCTCTAACAACAAATTAGAGATAAGGCAAAATAGTTTTCTGCTGGGGTATTGAGGGGGGGAGCGGGATGAGGGTGGAAGTGGTGGGTAAAGGGAGGGGGTGGGGGCAGGGGGGAGAAATAAACCCAGCCTTGTATGCACATATAATAATAAAAGAAAAATGAAAAAAAAAATTAAGGGCCGAAATAATTGAAATAAGAAAACAATAAAATCAGAACATGCAAAAGGGGAGATAACAAACTAAACACCACAGACATGCCAGACAAAAATCATCAGAGATTACTTTGAGGACCTACCATTCTAATAAATTTTGAAAATCTTGAAGCAATGGACAGATTTTCTAGATACTTATGACTAATCCAAAATTGAACAAAGAGGAACAGTTTAATCACTTGAATAGATTTATAACACAAAATGAAAATTGAAGAGCAGCAAGAAAGTCTCCCAAAAAGAAAAGTCCTAAGGAACCTGATTGGATTCTCTGATGAATTCTATCAAGACCTTTAAAGAAAACTAATACCAACCTCCTTAAACTGTTCCCATGGAAATAGAAAGGGAAGAAAACACTGGCCTAACTCCATTTTTTATGAGCCAGTATTAACACTCATTCCAAAATCAAGCAAAGGATATCCTCCAAAAAGGAAAACTATAGGCCAAGTCTCCCTTAATGAACATCATGCAAAAAATTTCCTCATAAAATAATGGCAAACCAAATCCAGCCAACGTAAATCCTAGAAAGATCATTCACCATGACCAAGTCGGCTTTCATCCTAGGGATGCAGGGGTGGTTTGCACATACGCAAATCTATAAATTGTAATATAAGCACATTAAATAGAAGCAAAGAACCAAAGCCTCTGTCATTCAAATAGATGCAGAGAAAGCCTTCGAGAAGATCCAACACCAATTCATGATAAAAGCTCTAAGAAAACTAGGAATTAAGGAAAGTACTTCACCATTGTAAAGGCTATGTATGACAAACCTACAGCCAACATCATACTTAATAGAGAAAAACTGAAACCATTTCTTCTAAAATCAAGAACGAGAGAAGGGTGCCCACTATCTCCACTCCTATTCAACACAGTACTGGAATTCCTAGCCAGAGCACTTAGGCAAGAAGAAGACATAAAAGGAACACAAATAGGTAAATAACTGTCAAAATATCCCTATTTGTAGATGATATGTTCCTATACCTTAAAGACCCAAAAAACTCTACCTAAAAACTCCTAGACACCATAAAGAGCTACAACAAAGTAGCAGGATACAAAATCAACTTACAAAAATCATTAGCTTTTCTATACACCAATAACAAACAAACTGGGAAAAATATATAGAAACAATTCCATTTACAATAGCCTCAAAAAAAATCAAATACCTAGGAGTAAACTTAACAAAGAGTGTGAATGACCTCTACAAGGAGAACTACAAACCCTTGAAGAAAGAGATAGACTACAGAAGGTGGAAAGATCTCCCATGCTCATGAATTGGTAGAATCAACACAGTAAAAATGGCTATACTACCAAAAGCAATCTACATGTTTAATGCAATTCCCATTAAAATCCCAATGACATTCATCAGAGAGATTGAAAAATCTACCCTAAAGTTCATTTGGAAACACAAGAGACCTCACTTGGAAGTGAGGTGAGGTTGGGGGGAGAGGGAGTGGAGAGGGGGAAGGTGGGAAGGAATGGCTCAAATAATCTATGTACATGTAAATAAGTGAATAAAAAAATTAAAACATAAGGTACTTATTCATCTGCTTCCTTTACACATATGTACTATTAGCACCACAGATTCTAGTGCCTGCATTCAGCCAACGGTGAAGACAGAATCTATGCCACAAAGGGCTTATATTCAAGGAAAAAAATTCTCCAGTGTTTAATGACATTATCTATTTTACATTATTAATAAAACAGCTTACATAATAACCATTTAAAGATGGCAAGGTCTGGAAATGCTACATATTACATAAATTAAGATACTTAAGAAAAATGCCTTGAAAAAATTTTGTTATGATTTATTTAATCAGTCAGTTTGAATGATGGCTATGTATAATGGTCCCTTCAGAGGTAAGCATAACTGAAGCATAAGAGTAGTTCACATGTATATTCTCTTAGCTTCCCTCAATGTCAAACAGCATTCGCAGGGCACACGTCTCGAGCATACGAACCTGGCAGTGCCATCAGATGATGAAGTAAGGATACAGCGATCATCTTTGGACCAGCAAAGGTCATAAATGATGTTAAGGTGGCCACACAGTTCTCTCATGAAACGTCCAGAAGGGATTTCATATACTAACAAAAATACTTAGAAATTAGTAGGTTATTATTTCTAATAATATATATAATTTATAACAGACAAAAGTTAAGCACTATAAAATTATAACTGAAAATATTTTCAGTGTAAATAAAATATAAAAATCTACTCAAGAATAGTTTTTCATTTGATTTAGACACAAAAATTTATACACAAAATTTCATGTGAAAATTTTATAATGTACTTTAATATATGATCAATTGTTCTCATCTCAAAGCAATCACCCAAGAATCTTTGATGACCAACTTACTAGTCGAATAATAAATAACATTTACATTGCAATTCACTTCAAATATTCTATAATTTGGGGTTTCATGAATAAAAGTATTATTTACTTTAAAATCAACTAAATTCTAAACACAATAATAACTATTTGAAGTAATGAGAAGTTTAAACTGTGCTGTGTCAGAAAGAAATTCTACTACTAAATGACAGAGAGAATAAGGGAGTTAGCAGCAAATCAATCTGATAGACAAAGCACTATTACATTTCATACACAATGAAACCTAAAATAATGATTAATTCAGAACAGTTTCCAATCTCTACTTCCACCTAGTGGTGAAATCAATTACCCTTTAACACTGGCAAAAATTCTCAAAATAATGCTTAGACTCTAATAGGTAAGCAAAGCTTATAAGAATCTGAGGAGTATTTATTCAAGAAAAATATATGAATCTATTGAGTTTTATGGTGACTTGCCCTACTCTGAAGCTCCCTAAAAGCTCCACCCCCAAGACAGTCTCGCAGTTCCCAGCAAGGCTCCATAGTCAGAGTTTGGCTTTATCTGACCTGCTTTGTGCAGGCTTTATTGAACAGCCCTAATTTTGGGATGCATGATGAAACAATGAGTGGCATCATTTAACACTGTAGCTACCCGAAAGGGTGGTACCAGCTGGGGCTAAGAAAAAGTTCACTAAGAACCTAAAGTGAAAAAACTAGGAATGAGATAGCCACAAGGAACTGTGCAAAGGTTCCAAATCTTCCTGGAGATCTAGGACTCCCATGCATATCTATAAAGGGCTGTGTGCATAATTCCGAAACTGAGGGAGTTTAGATGCTAGTCTTTTATCAACAAAAATTTAAAAATCATCCACTATTATCAACACATTCAGAGAGCTAAAGAAAACCATGCATGGAGAACTGACATGTAAGAAAGAAAGTATCAGTAAAGAAATAGAAATTATTTTTAAAAAAGGACCAAACAAAAATTTTAGGATTGAAAAGTATAATTACTGAGATAATTCACTAGAGAGGTCCAAAAACAGACTTGAACTGACAGAAAAATCATTAAGCCTGATGATAGGTCAATTGAGTTTATCCCATCAGGAATGAAAGTAAAAGAAGGAAGAAAAGTGAGTAAGGCTCAGAGACCAATTAGATACTACCAAATCTGCCAGCATGGGCATAATGGAAGTCCCAGAAGACAGAGAAAGGGGAAAACAGAACATTTGAAGAAATAATGACAAATACTTCCCAAATTTGTGAAAACATTAATTTGTACACTGAACAAGCTAAAAAAGTCAAAGTTTAGACACACCATGATCAAATAGTTAAAAACCAAAGACAAAACAAAGATTCATCTTCTATTCTTTTAAGATTTAAACAATAAGTAGATCTAAATCTAATACAGACTTTTTAATAAAATCATTTAAGTATAAAGTAACACATTTATCACAGAAAAATTTAAAACATAAACCAGAATGCAACTTTCACTACCCAAAAGACAGAAATCATTATTAATATCTTGAAGTATATTTCCCAAGAATCTTTTTTTCCACTCACACTTAAGTTTTCAATGAATTTTATAACAGCTTAGCAGTAATCAAACTGCACAAAAACATTTTATTTTTAAAATGTGTTATTCATGGGTAGGAATATTTTTTAATAAATGCAATGCTGCTGAGAAAAGCGAATCAACCAAGAAGTAACATGCTATGCACAGACGGGTGAAGGTCCACATAAACCAGTGCTTGGGGCAGCTGCCACGAGAAGCTGGCTTCTTCCTGCTGAGGAGAGCTGGTCTTCATCATTGAGCCAGGAGTAAGGGAGAGTATTTAATGTTCTAAAGCAGTATAATAATGCTCATTAAATAAAAAACCTCTTACAGCTATAGAAATAATTTTTATTGGACTCTCTGCTGACTTTCCAATCATCTAGGTTCTCTGCAGTCAATTATTACTGTACAACAAATTTGTGGACTTTGATAACTCAAATTGTTATGGCTAATCACAATGGGCTACATTTTCCTATTAAACTTATTAATCCTTCATGTTTCTAAATTTATATATTTAAATAGTGAATGTTTATATATATCCTTCTCCACATTTAAAAAATTATTTAACATCTTTCATCTGACCACTCTATTTCTGAACAATTGGTGCACAGTAATTAATGTCTTTACTGGAAAAAAATCTAGTTTTTTAATTTAATAGTACTGGGAATACTCAAGTTAAGATTACAATGAATATTAAAAATGAAAGTATGTAGGCCACACAGACTACAATTAGATTAAACAGATAGGATTATTTCTCACATATAATTGGATATCCATCCCGGCTGGCACAGGCTGCTGCTAATATTCTTCCATTATGGGAGAAATCAAGACAAAAACACCCTCGTTCTCCTGCGTTTAGTGAGAAGAGATGCTTGTTTGGGATACGGCAAGCCTAAAAAACATACATTTTAAAAATATAAACAAGGGAATACTAATATCAAAGACTATTACTTTCCATTACTATAGTGAATTTTTTCAGAGTTTGCTGTGATACAAAAAAAGAGAAAACCAAGTAACAAGAATGACGAAAAGTCAGAAAAATACTTTCTAAACAGAGAATCGGTTCTCCATAAAATTAATTGCATTTGTTCTTCATGTCTAAGTAGTACTTAATTCATCTGAAATGTGAATAGAAAAATTTCAGTATCTGATACTCTAAAGCTATCACTGCCACATTGCTTTTATTTTCTTTTTTAGTGGTGAACGTAACACAACTTATTTCTTTTGTTTATTCACATGTGCATTCATTGTCTGTGCTTTTATATAGCCACAGAAAAGAATGCATGTCACATCTTTTAGTCCATGACAGCAACAAATAAGTCATTTTCCCTGAGGTCACAAACTTGTTTTAAAACCACAAATGCCATATATGTCCCAGGATGTATGAATGTTCACACATTCTCTCTTAAAATAACCACCCTTTGTGGCTGCTTCCAAAATATACAGCAGTCCCCAAACCCCTTATCTACAGTTTTGCTTTCTGTGGTTTTGGTTACTCATGGTCAACCATGGTCTGAAAATATTAAATGGAAAATTCCAGAAATAATTCATAAGTTTTAAATCGTGCAGCATTCTAAGTAGCATCATAAATTCACACTGTCTTGTATCCTAGCCTTTGTACAGCATGCTCATGTTGTATGTATTACAGTACTATTAGTAGCAGTCTTGGTCATCAGATTGACTTTTAGATCACAGTGCTGTGTTCAAGTAACCTTTATTTAACTTAATAATGGTTCCAAAGCCCAAGAGTAGTAATGCTGGCAATTCAAATGTATCAAAGAGAAGACACAAGATACTTCCTTTAAATGTAAAGGTGAAAGTTCTACACTTAATAAGGGAAGGGAAAACAGTTATTTACTGAGGTTGCTCAGATCTATGGTAAGAATAAAACTATTCATAAAATTGTGAAGAAGTAAAATAATTCATGATGATTTTGCTGTCATACCTCACACTGTAAAATTTATGGACACAGTTGAGTGATAAGAGTTTAATTAAAAATGGAAATGGTACTAAACTTGTGGGTGGAAGGACATGAATAGAAAAGATGTTCCAATTGACAGCAATATATTATCTCAGAGAGTACTGTGCCTATATAACGATTTTGATAAAAGAGCCCCTGAAATGAATGATAATCTATACAAGGTTTGGTATTACTTACAATTTCAGACATTCACTGGAGACTTTGGAACATATCCCCTGGGAGTAAGCTGGGGATTACAGTATTTTCAAAGTAATCTTCCTAATTTCTGTTTTCATTCCCAGTTATAGACAAAACCCAATTTTTCTGAGTAATACTAGAAAATACTATCTACTTTTAAAAACCTTTCCTAGTTCTACCTCTTCCAATCCTCAATGGGTCTTAGTTTCTATACTTCTTGTTACTCCAAAAGTTACACATGTACTGAGTCCTAACTGTACACCAGAATGTTGTACCTTATGCCACTGAGTATTTTCATTACAACAAACCTATGAGTAACTATAGTCAGCTAAGAGTAATCATTATTAGCTAAGTATAGTTAATAATGATTATTTGGAAAGTCAAGCACAGCTTAGTGGGCCTAATCAAAGACTAGCAGGCTTGCTTTTGAGACTGGTATGTGTTTACAAGCAGCAACTCAGGAGAAAGCATGATGAGCAGTTACTAGGATTATGAAAAATTCAACAGACCTTTGTTACTTGTTAATCATGTATCAGACACTGTGCTACCTACCACTTTCCTCGATTCTCCAAACAGATGATTAAGGGAAAGTGTGGTAAAAAGAAGACAAAAACTGAAGGAGACATTAAGAGTCATTATAACCACTTGCTGCTGCTGCTAGAGTAGCAAAGTCTAACTTTCTATCTCTTGTATCCATCTCTTTTCATTTTTGCCACCACTAAACCAAGGTGAGGCCCTCATCACCTCACACATCAATATATCCTACTGTACAACTTCCCACATGTCATTGCCAGCATTAATTTGTCCTAAAATATGATTAATTCCACATTTCTCATCTATCCCAAACCTTCCATTATTTCTCACATACCACACAAACAAGTACTGGGTTACCATCCACCATCCAAGATACTCCATAATGTGACCCTAATCCTTCACACCACTTATCTCTTCTACAAACTGAGGTTTCTAGTCAGGCAAGTCCTGGAGTGTCTAATAGTAGACGTCCTTTTCACTTATTTGCCACTTTGCCTCTGCATGCAATACCCTTCCCTATCTACCTTCACCACCCATAACTTGGTCATCTGTCTACCTCAAGCTCCAGCAACCTGTTGAATAAACTTCTTTCCCTATTCTAGTTCACCTTCTTCATGCTGCAATTCTCAAGCTTCTGTAGTTTATAGATACTTAAAAATGTCTTCAGGGCCTTCAAAAGCTATTTATGTAGCTGTATCTATTGATATTTATATTAGAAACTGAAATTGAGAAAAATTTTAAAATTAATTCACCAAAATAGAATAGCTTAGATCTATTAAAAAGTAATGCAAATAACACCTTTTATGAAAAATAGCCACATAAAATGAAGTGTTGTACTTTGTTGAAAATTTCTTTAATATCTGGCTAGACATTTATATCTACTTCAGCATGTGCTCTCAAGATATCACATGTTGTTTAGACTCTGAAGACTTGTGAGACAATGAAAATGGAAAAAAAACCCAAAAAAACAAAACCCAAACAGAATCATTATGGAAAAGACCTTATAATCACTATGGAAAAGAGTTGGCATCAAGCAATCCCTGATAGCATTTCAGGACTCCCAGAGTCTTGAACCACTTTGATCTATGTAATTATATTTGTGCCTATTTTCTTCAAGACTCCACTTTAAAGTAAACAATATTGTACTGCTTTCTTCTTTCTCCATCTAATATGGAAGGTCCCCAAGGACATAATCTGTTATTCTCTCCATATTACTGGTTGAAAAAATTGTGACAAGAAGTATTTCAAAATATTGGAGTTAGGAATATTTACATGGACTTTACTGATTGAGTATCTTTAATTCAAAAACCCAAAATCTGAAATGCTCCAAAATCCATAACTTTTTACAGAATTTTGGATTTTTGATTTTCAGATTAAGGATGATAAACCGGTATTGTTTGTAGTGCTGAAACCACAATAAAGTGATTTTAAAACATATCTTTAAAACCAGTCTCAAAAATAAAGTCAAATGTGATGCAAAACACAGAAAATAAAGAGGTCTAAGAAAATAATCATTCTTATTTCTACACTGGATATTTGGATAAATTTCAAGTAGCAATGTTTCAGATGCAAACACTGCTAACAAAGAAGGAAAACTATGGTAAAAGCTTAAATGCTGCTCAACCAGAAGAATCTGCATGTTTATTATCCCCATCAAAATGTGATTCAAGGCCGGCATGGGGGCTCACACCTGTAATCCTGAAATACTCAGGAGCAGAGACTGGGAGGATCATAGTTTGAGGCCAGCCCGGGAGGAGAAAGGAGGGGAGGGAAGTTAACAAGATCCCATCTCAACCAATAAAACTGTTTGTGGTGGTGCACACCTGTCATCCCACCTACATGAGAAGCATAAACAGGAAGACAGTTCAGGCTGGCCTGGGCAAAATGTGAGACCCTATTCCCAAAATAACTAAAGCCAAAAGGGCTAAAGGTATGGCTCAGGTGGTAAAATACCTGCTAGCAAAGGTGAGGCCCGAGTTCAACTCTGGTGCCACTAAAAACAAAACAACAAAAAATGTGATTCAGGAAGAAACTAGGACCTATAAAAAAATTCATGAATCCACAAACATGTAAGTAACTCTCACAGATATCAACAATCTGTTTTTTGAGTGCTACAGGCTGAATCATGTCCCCTCCAAAACTCTTATGTTAAAGGCCTAAATCCCAAGTACCTCTAAAGTAACACTAGTTGGAAATAGTGTATTTTAAAAATATGGCTGAGTTAAAATGAGGTTATTAGGGAAAGGTTATAATACAATAAAGTTTTTGAACATATAAGAATAGGAAGAGACACCAGAGACATCTACACACAAGGAAAAGACCATATGAATAGGCAACAGGGGAGCAGCCATCTGCAAGCCAAGGAGAGGTCTCAGAGGAGATTGGCCTTGCCAACACGTTGGTATGTGCTATGAAGTGAATGTCTGTGTCCTCTCAAAATTCGTGCTGAAGCTCTAATCCCCAATGTGATGGTATTTAGAGGTGGGGCCTTTGGGAAGCAATTAGGTTATGTATGGAGCCCTATGAAGGGGATTATTGCCCTCAGAGGAAGAAACATGACGGAGATGCTCTCTCTTTCCACCAAAGGATACAGTGAAGATGTCTGCAAACCAGGACAAGGACCCTCATCAGGAACCAAACTGACTAGAACCTTAATCTTAAGATTTCACAGCTTTTACAACCATGAGAAATAAACATCTGTTCTTTAGACCACTGAGTCTATAGCATTTTGTTATTGAAAACTAATACAACTAACCACATGCTCAAAGAGCCTAAGATAGGTACTCTTATTATTATTATTATCATCCAAATGAATTAATGGAGAGACTAAATTGAGGTTAACAATAATAATCTGACTGCTTTAAGTAATAAGCTAGGTACCCTAGTAGCTACTATTGTTTTTAAGGTGATAAATCTAAATGAATCCAGTATTATTAAACACCTCACCTGCCCAGGCAGTCGTTTCCACTTTACTACTTCCTTTGAATCTTCTAATCCAGGTTCTGTGTCTACTGAGCTTGACTCACAGTGATGTTCACAATATACTGGTTTACCTTTTTCCTCCTGAAGAGCCATCATAGAACGGTAAGATGGCTTTATCTAAATATGTAAAGAAAATTAGCAAGTTTATATCAAGTTCATATTTTCTTTTTCCTAGAACACGCTGTTTTTAAAATGGTGAGAGAAATGATATGGAAATGTTACAAACTGCAATGCAGAAAAATTCTGTTTTCACTTACATAGTATTCTAAATAAAATAAAAGCTACTTGAAACTACAGTCCTACAACCAAAAAACCTTAAAATTCTGGGTGAGAAAAATAAATTCCTATGGTTTATGAAATGGTTTTAATAACTCTGCCCTACTCTGTCTTCTGCTTTATCAATACCTACCTGCTGTTATGCTGTGGTTCTGATTTACTATGGTATCTCTGGCATAAAAAAATCATAAAAAACTAAAAATATGAAGTTTTAAAAACATTCATTTCTTAGTGATAGTTTTTATTGACTTCATTCAAACTAATTCAAATCAATCCTGTGATCACAGTATATAATATCAACTACAGACTATGCAACTGATCTGAAAGATTATCTTACAACAAAAATAGGATGAGTGAACATGCTTGATTTTAGTACTAATTCTTTGCTAAGATCATCTATAATGTTCATCTACAGTAACAGTAGTATATGCTGATTATATGGATGTCTCTATAGTGAAATATGTAAATCAGAAGTGTGCAAACTATAGCCCACATACCAAATCTGGCTTACTTCCTGTTACTATAAAGCTTTATTAGGACACATCACACTCATTTGTTATCATCTATATAGCTATATAGTCACTTTCATACTGCAAAGTTGAGTAGTTGTGAGAGAGAATATATGGTTATAAAACCTAAATATTTACTTTCTGGCCCTATATAAGAAATATTTCTCAATCCCAGCTTTTTATCCTTTTATCTTCAATTTCAAAAACCCAAATTATACTGAAATGTTTTTCTTATCTGATATCTGCACTTAAAACTTAAACTTAATTTAAATATGTCCCAAGTATCAACTTTTATAGTCTTAATATATAATCTCTGAAGGTACCTATTATAGAAATCTACAAAAATAATTTTCAAGACCATATCTTTTTACCAATGGAAAACATATCATCATTAATTTCAACAACAAAGACTATACTAACATAGACTATGCCATTAACTTACACAGTCTGGAACTTTCAATCCTCGCACAGTTACATACAAGGTTGATGGGTAACGATTTCTTGGACATTTGGACCACCATTCGAAAACTTCAACAACATTCAATTGGGATCGAGGCTTAGTAGGTGGGTAGTACAGCTGCAAGCGAAGTTTTGAATTGATGTTTGCATTTCCATTGGCTCCCAGAAGCTTAAAATAAGAATTCATATAAAATATTGTCTTACTGAAAATAAATATATCCAATAAAGCAACAGCATGTAGTCAGAATCTGATTTTAAAAAACATTCATATGGCATGTTGAGATTCCTTAGATTTATAAAGCAAAAGAAAGAAGATTGAAATGAATGATCAGGCAGTTTTGGATCATTTTTAACAAAAGCAACTTTTAAAATATTTTCCCAATAGCTCTCTTTTCACCTGTACAACCACTTTAAATTGTTGGTAAAACATTCACATTACTGTGCCTGTTACCACTTTGCACAAAGAAATTGATCAACACACATTTATTTGAAATAATAATGATAAAGATTAACATACTTATTATTTCAACACAGAAACAAATTTTTTATTTGTTTATTATTGGTATAGTTAATGGTTAAAATTATATTTTAATTTTTAAGGTCAAAATCATTTTAAGATAACTAAACTAATTCAAACCATTCATATTTTTTCAATATTTTAGTCTATCTTTTTAGAAAGGTCTACTAAAAACTATTAAACAAAGCAACATAAAGCGTGGAAATTCTTATGAGAAAAATAAGTGTTACCAACTCAGAATAAGTCTTTTTTCACTACACTATGACTTCAAACAGGAAATGTGTTTCTAACTTTTTGTCTTTTACAAATTAGGAGTAGAGAGATAGTTGACTATGGTGATGGGAATGCTCCACAGATGTGCCATCCAACAGAGAATCCACTAGTCAGAGGGGACTATGGTGCACTGGAAGAGTGGTTAGTCCAACTACTAAAATGAAGTTTTAATTATATTTAATTTTAATTAATCTGAATTCAGCATACCACATGTGACTTGTGGCTACCAAAGCAGACAGGGTAACTCCACGGTCATAAACTTGGAAGACTGCGCAGACAGTGGTAGTACTACCAACTAAGGAAAGCAGCAGAGAGAGACAGGGTAAGAGATTTGGTAGGATGTTCACTTTGGAGGAGTGTGAGATATATAGGGTATCATCCAAGTTGAAATGGCCAGTAAGTTAATTGCATCTACAAATATAAAAGACAAAAAAGTGGGTCCAAGAAAAACAAATTAAATATGAAACCATGAGTAGTACTGGTACTAAAGAGGTAAACAGAAGACTAAGAAGGAATGAAATAAGCAAAAACAGGAGAGGATGGTGTCAAGAAAGTCAATGTAGCAGAGTTTCAAGAGAATGATGTACTAAATGCACATAGTGTGATGCAAGAACAAGTGAAAAATGTGCAAATTTGGCAAACAGAAATAATTAGTGATTTGGTTAAAGAAGTTTTAATGGCAGAGGCAAAATTCAGATTGTACCATGATACATCAACAAGGAAAACAGAAATGGCAAAATGTAGCCCATTTTCCCCTATAACCCTAAAGGGGTCTTTACATTTGTAAAGACATCATTTTATCCTTTCGTTTAAATTCTTATAATGGCTACCCACTGCTCTTTAAAATTTTGTAATAGCTTAGAAGACCATGTAATGAAGATCCTGTTTACCTCAGCAACCTCTTCACACACCATTCTCCCTCTCGCCTCTGTCTGCCAATTTCAGCTGCTTTCTCTGGTATCAAGATCTTTGAATATATTATATCCTTTCCCTAGAATCTTCCTCTCCACTGCTCCCATCTAACTAATGCTCAAGTTACATGTGTCTTCCTTAGAAAACTGTTCCTGACCCCACAGGACCCCTGTTTTGATCATCCACCCTATAATTCTTCACAATACTTATAAAAATTGTAACTGAACAACAAATTGTGTATGCTTTTATGGCTAGAATATGAAGTCAATGAGGTCAAGGAATTTGTCTTCTTTCAGTTTGCTGACTGGAACAATGGCTAGCCCTAGAAAGGGCTTAATTAGCATCTACTGAACTGAGGAAATGATGATAGGGCTGCATGTGTCTTTTTCAGTGCTTCATCCTCAGGACTAAAAACGTGAAAACACCACACAACAGGCAATCAATAATATTTAAGACTCTCATTGAGCCTCACCCGAGCTTAACAGTACTTCACAACTATGATTTTACTTTAAATCCTGACCCTTTATAAGATTAAACTGACTTAAGAAAAAGCAGCCAATCAAACTCATAGATATTTTAAATGTGCATAAAATGGATGAAGATCATACCTTAAGAAATGCCCAGGCAATTTTCCGAAAGCCACATTCTTGGTTTTGAACCTCAGAGTTATTCTTAATTTCATCCATGCTTAAAAAGTCAAGAATCTGCAAATAAAAAGTTACTTCACTGAATTCTACACCATCTAAAACTATTTTCTAATGACAAATTAAGAAAAATTTAAATCATTTGTATACTTTAAATCTGTTTCCATTATAGGGAGTAAAAACATTTTTTTAATTTGTTTTTGTTCTTTGAGACAGTGTCTCACTATTAGTTCATGCTGGCCTAGAACTCGCTACATAGCCTAAATTGGCCTTAAATTTGTGATCCTCCTGCATCCTAAGCACTGGGATTACAGGCATACCTAGCTTTAAAGACATTTTTATCTCATTTCATTCATCTTCATGTTAATTCATCCAATTAAGATTTTTTTGTACTACTTTATTAATTAATCTTTCATTAATATTTGTTTCAAGGCTGGGCACAGTAGTGGTACATGCCTATAATCCCAGCTACATCAGAGGCAGATAGGGAGGATCATACTTAAACACCAGCCCAGGCAAAAAGTTAGCAAGATCCCATCTCAACAAAACAAGCTGAGCATGGTGGTGTGCACCTCTCATCCCAGCTAAGTAGAAAGCCATAGGTAGGAGGATCATAGTCTGATATACTATTCCAGGGCAAAAACTTAAGTCCCTACCTAAAAAATAACCTAAATCGGAGGGCTAGAATTGTAGCTCAAGTGATAGAGCACCTGCCTACCAAGCACAAGTTCCTGGTTTAAACCCTAGTACCACCAAAAAGAAAAAAAATTATTTCAAGTCTAAAACAGTATTAATTATCTCAAATATGATAGATAGTACCCTGAGCTGATCATTACACACTGTATCCAAGTTTTGAAATGTCACATTATAACCTACAAATATATACAATTATTATATGTCAATTAAAAATTTTAAGTATATTTTTTATTTTCCTCAACTATAATCTAAGCACAAATACATCAAACATAAAATTAAGCTTTGGTCATTTTTTTATGTATCACAGTAGAACTCAAAGGACTGTTGATTGTAAAACTCAGGACTCTCTTTTCATGTCCTTGCTTGGATCACCTTCCTGAAGTTAGGGGCTTTCCCTTTGGCTGCATATTATAACCAGGATTTTCAAGGGGATTCCTTTCATACCTTCATCCTGTCTAGATATCAAATACTTAAAACCAATCTGTCACAGAGAGGTCTGTGTTCTAGGTACAGAACACAGAGGCTAACACTTTGAACTTACTAGTGTTTATCAAAGGCTCAACTGAGATGAACAATCTTTAATAGAAGACTGCTTCAAAAATGATATGGATTTTATTCATCCCTCTTTAGATATGCAAATCTTTTTTCAGATATATTCTCAATGAAAAAACATGATAATATAGAAAAATACATAAGCAAAGTAAAGACAATTTGTAATCCAGACTGACAGATAATCACCATTAACATTTGGATTCATACGAATCTAAATCTTTGTCTGTACATTCCTAAATATATGTATGCATGGGACTACAAATCCAACACATGCTATTTTGCAATCTATTTTCACATAATATGTAGTGCATATCTCTTCATGTCAATACATCCACATGGAAATCATATTAATGGCTACCTAGTATTTTTCTGTACATAAATAACATAAATTTAATTTAAGAACATACTTTATTCAACCCCATCTCTTAACTCATTAAGATTTAGGTTCCTTTATCTCCCTAAAAGTTTTGCTAATGTAGAGGGCTCAAATAAATATCCTTCCATGCACATCTTCATGGAATTGCCATTTTTCCCAAAGGGTAGATATGTAGGACTGGAATAAGCAGTTTTAAAGATTTCTAATAGCTATTATTAAACTGCCCTCAACAAACCCTTAAAAAGTTAAAATCAGAAAGTAATTATATAAGTAATAACACATTGTGTTAAAACTTCATAAGTAATCATTGTTTAATAAAATGACTATAAAGGAACATTTATAACAAATCACAAGTTTCCATAACAAAAATGTGCCTTGAGTTATATCCCTTTTTTAAAAAAACCCGGATTTATATAAATCACACATAACATAATTAGATATAAATGGTAGACTACATGTCTATAAAGATACACAAATAACCTGAAAGTTGAGGATCATAAAAATAAACACCTCTACAAAATGAATCATTAGTTCTGGTCATACAAGGATCCTTACTGTTCCTTTGCTAAAATTCACCAGCTTGGTTAAACTGGAAAGGAGGCTCTCTCTACTTCCCTTTGCTTATGGAAATAGAGAAAAGAAATGTAATATTTAGATTTGAATCATCATCAAATATAAATTACCTACACATAAAATGGAAGTAACTTGGGAAATCATTTGTACTCCAAATCTGATTGCTCTGACCGTCCACTTCACATCTAAGAAGTTACCATTTTTGGTTATGTATTCTATTGTATTAGTCAACCGACCTGTGGTTGTTTATCTTTTTTTTTTTTTTTTTTTCAATCCGGGTGGTATAGATATTCTTAGGGAGTCTGAAATATTTAAGTGACTTTATACTTTTTGAAATGGGTTCAGAAGGGAGGGCTACATTCAAATTAGATTCATCAGTTTAGTTAATAGTCGTGGGGTTGTTAAAAGGATTAAACAATTACTTAAGAATAGGTAAAATTACTAACTCCTTGCACTGGTAAGTGCTCAGCAAATACATCACTTGTTTTTAAAAGGGCTCCTCACTGGTACTTCTGCAGTACATTGTGAAGACTAAATCCCAAAGGCTAAACTCTCTCATTACTTGTCACATTACTGAACTATTAAAAACAACAACTTGTACTTGTGGGATTCAGTATTTACTAAAATTTAGTTTGCTCTATTCAATTCATACCTCAAAAAACAGGATGACTTTAGGACTCTCATCAAAATCTCGAAGTAAATAGGGAAAATTTTCATTAAATATAATTTGTTCTTCCCACTCTGGAAGTCTTGATTTTAACTGTTTAAAATCATATGGCTGGGTCATAATAGGAAGAATATAATCCACATTCTCTTTTTCATAGTAAGATGAAACAGGACGTTCACTGTTCAAAAATAAAGACCTTTCCATTAACACAATTTAATTTTTAGGAGTTGAGGAAAAAATATAGTTACAAAAGAAATAATCAGAAATAATGTGAAAGCAAAATTATATTCTTTATCTATGCAGACAATTATAAATGTTATGAAACTTAAAAGTAGTGGTACCTTACTACCATCTTGCATTTATATACTATTAGTTGAACTCATAGAATGACTTTATTACAGAAATAAAAATTGAAAGGTAACATTACACCTTCACTGTAAGAGTTTTAATAAAGTAACTTTCAGATTTTTAAATGAGCTTATGACTTTAAAAAGTACAATACATTTATTTAAATAAACACAGCTTTTTAAGCTGTCATATTTCCTTTGTATGTCCTAAAACAACCAAATAAGTGAATATTTTGGCAATCATAATGTTTTCGTCCCCTGCTATCTTGACAAGCGAGTATTTTTATTTTAATTCTGGTATAATCATTTATCTTATTGTATTTATTGCTGGGCCTTCAGGGTGTATTACCTATAGAAATAATTTTATAGGAAAAATTCAAGATTCATTTATCTCACCTGAAGCCCAAGCAACGTGTTAATTTCAAAAGAAAAAGATGAGGTTTCATAATTAGTATGTTTTGTATGATTTACAATGCAAGTTTTATGGCATAAATTAGTAATTAAGCTTGGTAAAGCTCTCTATTAGTTACAATGAACAGACACTCTCCACTTCTATAAAACATAGTGATCAATATCAAATGGGTAATGTACACCTAAAACTGGTGGACTATTCTCTGATAAAAAACCACAGTTCTATTCCTATTGACTTTCAACTACCAACAGTAGAAAAGAGGACTTCTATTGTAGACAGTTTCAATTTCAATGGTTATGTAGTTTTTTGTTTGTTTTTTTTTAAATTACCTATCATCTTTCTTGACATATTGACCAGTGGTCTCATCAACTACATGAATCTTTACCATGGGGTGAGAAATCATAAAATCTGATTTAAGTCGATCAGTTCGGTGAATATAAACTCCCAAGACAAGATCATCATCAAGCAAACATTTGGGATAAACTGGACTATCCCGGCTTGTTATTTCATGAACACCATCTCCATCAATGTCTTCATTATCATCTGAAACTACATTAAAGGAAGAAAATTACAGTTATAATTAACTGTTCTCACAGTTAGGAGTTATATATAATCTAATCTTTATGATGTATGATTATTTTACTCTGTTAACAAGAGATCTTCAAGGAAAAGAAAGAAAAGGCCACACAGCAGCAGATCACCCAGTGAAAATATTCTATATAGAATATGTATCATTTGGTTCATTTATAACTGGAATGTCTACTTTTGAGTAGGCTATATTAAGATGCATTGGGTCAATGACTTACATGAAAGTAACAGGAAAAAGACAAATTACAAAAACGACTTATTATTTTAGTACAGAAATAATGTATATTAGATGGACTAAAATTCCATAGATGGGAGAATCAGTCAAAATTAAGCTGATAGAAAAGCAGCTACTTTATGTCTCTGGACAAAGGACTCAGGGTATGGGCTAAGGACCAGGATTTGACCCAGGCAGGTCACTACTTAGGAGAAAGAGAAACCAGCAAAACTTTCAGTGGTTCCCTGATACTAAAGTGATAAAACTGGAAACTTAGCTTGGTGTAGTGGTGCACAGTTAAAATCCCAGCAAGCAGGAGGCTGAGGCAGGAGAATCATGAGTTCAAGGTCAGCCTGGGATACATATTGAGGACCTGTCTCAATAAATAAATAACCCCAAAAACCTAGGAACTCAAAGAGCCTCAAACACATGTCTAATTTCCCTGATCAAATTGAGTTCTGGGGCTACAGCATGGTGGGACAGGTAGTGAAATGTCCTAGTGAGGTGGTGCTAGCAAAACATGTCCCACCAGAGTGGGACGCCTAAACTAGTATAGGCAGTGAAGTCCTAAGGGTGTGGCTAATTTTTATTAAGGACCTAATGCTAGTTTTCATCTGAGCTCACTTGCCAATTCTGGGTTTAGCTAGAAAGATTGAGAAACCAACAGAAATCCTGGCATATGTGTAGGGCTGGATTAACAAAATTGGAGACTTCAAGGACCTCAAACACGTGACCAATCTCCCCCCTCATGGCACTGAAGCTTATGTGGGGCAAAAGGCTAACAGGCTAAGGTAGAAAGCACTGAAGGACTCAATCTTCAAACATTATTTCTTTCTGAAGAAATAAATATCTACTAAACCTTCAGTTTGAACTACATGGAAGGCTATGTCCTATGAATGGGGTGCATCAGAGATAGAACGTCATCAAAACAACTCTCCATCTCTGAACTATGCTGACAGGTGCCATCAACTGCACACCCTATCTGCCTAAGCAAGAAAAGGGGAAACTCTCTCTAGGGGAGAAAAAAAATCATCCAGGGCCTCTAGAATTCTATAAGTAATGTCCAGCAGATAATAAAAAGTTACTAGACACAGAAGAGGCAAGATTATGTAATTAATAATCAAGAGGAAAAAGACAATAGTCAGATTCATGGATAATCCAGATTAAAGTTTGCATATAAGGACTTAAAAATAATTATGATTAATATATGCAAGAAAACAAAAGGAAAGATGGGAAAAACAGTTCTAAAATATAAATTTTTCTACAGAGAATTAGAATCCAAAACAAGTTCTGAAACTGAAAAACACAATGTCTGAAATTATAAACTCAATAGATATGTCTAGTAATATAAAGGACACAAAAATATGATTAGTGAACCAGAAGAAAGGTCTGTATAAAGGTCCTAACCAATGGGAAAAAAAGCATAAGGAAAAGAGAACATAAAAAAATATGTGTGGTCACACTCAAAAGAGCTAGTATATTTGAAATTATAATATAGTGAGGAAAGAATGATGAAGCCTTACTAAAAAAACAAATAATGGCTAAGAAGTGTACTTTATTGGGAAACTAAATTGTATTAAGACTACAAGAAGAGTAATGCTCTCCAAGGTTACAACTAAAAACAGTAAAATAATGTATAATTAATGTTAATAGGAGATATTTTAAAAATACTTGAATAATTCAAAGATAAGGAGAAAAGAAAACAAAAAAACAGGTAAAACAGTGAGATGATAAATCCACGAATACAGAAAGATTGCAAGAACATTGAGAAAAATGCACTGTGCCAACTCAAATCATGGTAGAGTTTAAGGGGAAATGAATTATTAAACATAAAGGACATGCAAAATGATAAAAGTATCAATGTGATAGGATATAAACTCCTAAATATGCCTATATTCAATAATATAACTTCAAAATATATGAATAAAAACTGACAGAAAAAAAAGAAAAAGAAACAAACCCAGTATTATAGTGGAAATTTTAATAATCCCCACAATAGCTGGTAGAATAAATAGACTAAAAAAAGTCAGTAACATCAGTCAAACACAATAAACTTCCATATCTCTAACTTCCATATATAGGACACTGTATTCAATGATACAGAACTCACATTTTCAAATGAACATGGACTATTTATCAAAACTGACCATAAAAAGGTTATAAGGAAAGCCTCAATAAACTCAAAAATCTGAAATTCTTTGCTAGCTATTCTCCGACATGATGGAAGATAGAAACTAGAAATATAAAGACGACTAGAAGATCATCCATCTACTGTCTGAAACTAGTAACATAGTCCAAGAAATTAAAATGGAGAAAATATTCTCTGTTCAAAGACAAGGCACACATCATCAAAAGGTTGAGGAATGCAATTAAGTAGTGCTTGGGTAAGAACTTAAATGCCAAGAAGACAGACCAAAATCTTCTAAAGCTATAAGTAAAGTGCAAGATAAAACCCAAAGAAATACAAAGAAGGAAATAATAAACATAGAAGAATCATGATGATAGTACAGAAATGTATAATAAAGAAAATCAAAGGTAAAAGTTGGACCTTTAAAAAGACTCATAAACTGAAAATCTGAGGTGGATCCAAAAACTGAGAAAAAGAAAATTATATCATGAATGAAACACTAGCACATCCTTTCAGATGTAACAGATATTAAAAATTTGAAGTTCTGGATAAAGTGGACATATTCCTCAAAAAATCCTACCAAAGCTGCCTGAAAAGCTACACACAGTGATGCACACCTCTAATCTCAGCACTGGGGAGGCTGAGACAGGAGGATCATGAGGTCAAGGCCAGCCTGGGCTACATAATGAGAACCTGTCTTAAAAAAGAAAATTAAAGCAAATCCTAAAAAAAAAGTTGTCAGCAGAAGTAGAAAATGTGAAGACTCTGATATGTATTAAATGAAATTAAAATTCTTCCTATAAAGAAAATCTTAGCCTAAAAAGGTTTACAGTAAATTCTTCCAAACATTTACAAATAACATTAGTCAATACAAATGCTTCCAAAAAACTGGAAAAGTTGAAACATTTCCCACACTTTTGAGACCACCAAAACATTGAAACTTAAAAGTCCCTAAATTCAGGGAATTTCAAGAAAGGAAAACTATAAGCCAATCCCTCTCATGACCATAGATACAAAGACCCTAAACAAAGTATCAGCAAACCAAATCAAGTAATATATTGAAATAAAAGATAATCCATTACAACTAAGTAGGTCCCTTGACCCCTGCCAGGAACACAAAGATGAATTAATATTTAAATAACAATTATACATGCAGAATAATGGGTGGAATTTATATGATCATGTTTCAATATACAAAAAAGCCTCTGACAAAATTCAAAATCAACTCATAATAAAAACCTTAACAAACTAGGAATAGAAAACAACTTCCTCAATCTGACAAATGGTGTTTACAAACAACTCACAGCAAACCTCAAACTCAAGGCTGAAATAATGGAAGCTTCCCCTCAAGACTGGTCACAAGAAAAGGGTATTTGTTATTGTCACTTCTATTTTAAGACTGAGGTGAAAGTCTTAGCCATTGCACTCAGAGAAGAAAAATAGATAATGTGTAAAGCTTGAAAAAGACACAATAAAACTATCATTACTAACAGATTAATGATTGTATATGTAGAAAAATCAAAATAATCTATAAATAAACTTAGAAGTAATTAGTGAATTTGGCAAGATCACTGCGTACTATGTTGAAAAATTTAAAATAAGTATTTCTATAACAAATGAATAAAAACAGAATTTAAAAAATAATTCCATTTTCAGTATCATTCAGAAACTAAGGACAGAGTGCTGAAATTTGTAATTTCACCAAGAAAAATGAGACAGAAATGAAGGAACATACATGTCAACTTCATAGGTTCCAAGAATCAGTATTTTGTAAAAATATCAAATAAGCCTAGGGAGGAGTTACATCATCAATCTCTTTAGATTTACCATGTCTAGATCAAAATTACAGCTTGGTGGGCAGGATGAGGGCTGGTAACAGGACAGGAAATTGAGAAGCTACTTCTAAAATTCATATCTAAAATTCATATGAAAATGCAAAGTAAAGAATAGTGCAGGCAATGCTGAAGAAGAGGAAGAAAAACAGCATGACCTATTATAAAGTTTTAGTAATTAAGATATGGTGTTGTTTGTATAAACTGTTTAATGTGATAGAACAGAGTACAAAAGCAGATCCATACTTACCATGGTTTTGTTTACTGAAACTCTTAAAACTGGTGAACCAAGTTTTGAAAACTAGAAGTAACTATTAATGCAAAAAATATACATAATTTATGACATTACAACTCTACTCTAAAAATAAGCTCAACAAAAATGTATGAGTATGCTCAGAAAATGTGTAACTAGTATGTTCATTACAACTTTACTTGCAATTGGCCTAAACTAGAAACACAAGGACCATCAACAGACTAGATAAATTAGCTGTGTCATGTTCCCACTATGGTTATCTACACTGTACAAAAACAGAAAAGTGAGAATAAGTTCAACTGCATGCAAAAATAGTATAAATTGTACAAGAATAACACTGACCAAAGAAGCCAGGCACAAAAAGCACAGTATTTATTATCTTATTCATATTAATGTACAAACATAGGCAAAAATGAACTGTGTTAGCTGTTAAGAGTAGCAGTTACTCCTACAGTAACTTCCCCTGGAAGGGGCCTTCAGGGGCTTCTGGGTGCTCATGAGAGTCTGTGTCTTGATTTGGATGGTGATTGTGTAGAAATGTTCCGTTTGTGAAAATTTGCTAAGCAGTGTACTTACATGTGTATACTGCTTGATGATGAGGATATGTATACATTTCTATACATACATTATGCTTCAACAGAAGTTTTTTAAAAATTAACTCTTAACAGCCACAAAACATCAACTGCCTAAGAACCATGAACTCTAAAGTTGCCTATTTTAGATGGAAGGCAGAAAGCAGCAGGGAGGATAGAAAACGGGAAAAGGAAAGGTAGAGAGGAGAAGGGAGCTAAGCTAGGCTGAGGAACTGGGAAGACATCATGTTTGGCAGAGGGGTGCAGCCTTAATATCTGAAATATTTGTTGGCTGTTGGTCATTCCTAACTTTTGACAACTAAGTTAACCATTTAGGGACTCTAAACTCAATGGTTTAAAAAAGAAATATTCTGTGGCACAATAGCAACTACAAAATGATTATCAACATAGAGCTGAATTAAACTAGGAGCTAGAGTCGACTTGGGCTTAACAAGCTCATCATAGAGACCCACAGTTATAAATAAATGAAAATCTTATCTGAATAAAACAAGAACAAGTACTTTGGTACTTGTTATTTTATATTGAATTAGTTTAAATGATATCCTTTAGTTTTAGCTTGAAAGACTTGAATACCTAGAATCATGTTATTTCTACAAGGGCACACAATTTTTCACTTAATTTGGGTAACAAACCTGCTTTAGTCTTCTTTTTTACTTTTTTGGGCTTGGATTTTATGTTATCTGGCATGTTCTCATCTACATTTTGCTCTGTTGAGTTTATTTCATCATCTTTATGACAATCAGAAGTGACTGCTCCAACTGGACATTCCTTCTGCTCACCTTCAACTGCATCATCACAGATGGTCAGTGTGCTGCAAATACAGCCCAAGGATAAGTCATTACAAATGTGCCATTGTTCATGGTGTGACAGAGTGAATGGTAAAGAGAAGTAAGGACAATCCTGAAGTATTCTGCTCTGTGGGGAAATGCATGTATTTTCTTGTAAAATAAAACAACTACCTGTCAAACTAGGGATGATTGCTACTATTTTATACTTTGTCAGGAATTACATATCCCAGGAAGCAACTTAAACTGAGCTTTAAACTTCAAGGAATAATCCCAGCACCCAGGAGGCTAAAGCAAGAAGTTTCCAAGTTTGAGACCAGCCTGAGCTACATAGCGAGTTCGAGGCCAACCTGGGATACAAAATGAGATCCTGTTTCAAAAAAACAAAACATGCCAAAACAAATATTGAAAAGGAAACTGTATTTTATGAGTAATGGATCTGTCTTACATAGGACTGATCAAAGTATCAGTTTCTAATTAAATGCTTAATGAACAAATTTCTAAATTACTTAATTTACAGGCAAAAATGTTCCAGATTTGTTCTGTGGGAGGCTTCAATTGGACAATTTTTTGATTTTTTTTAGGTAAAAATTGTTTTGTTTTAGTGTTACTTGGGTTTGAACCAGGGCCTTGTGCCTGCTAGGTAGGGGCTCTACAACTTAAGCCATGCCCCCACCCTATTCTGCTTTAGTTATTGTTCAGATAGGGCCTCACTTTTACAAACCAGCAAACTTCCTACTTTCACCTCCTGTACAACTGGGATTACAGACCTGTAACGCTGTACTGGCCTTGTTTGTTCAGATGGAGTCTTACTAACCTAAACTTTTGTCCCACATGGCCTGCATGATTCTCCCAATTTCCGCCTCCTGAGTAGCTGGGATTACAAGTATGTACCAACATGCATGGCCTAATTCCTTATGTTTTCTGGCGGCTGCTATGTGACTACATTTTCAGCCATCAGAAATGGCTGAAATGATTAAATGGCATAAACGATTAAAATGAAATCTGCAGCGTTAGAATAATAAATGGTAAGGGGAGGCAGCCCAGGAGCACACTTTAGTTTAAAGAGAAGCTAGCTAGTTAAAGTTTGTTTGTATTTTATCAAGTAAAAAGTCTGCATTTAAATAATAAAATACGACTCGCAATACATTTATCTTTCTTAAAAAGTGTTTGACAAATAAAAAATTACAGAAATCTTTCAAATTAGTCATTACAGAAAGCCACGCTATTTTATCAACCACCAAATATCGTTATTAAAGAATAGCTACCCACTGCAAGCCACCATCCTGCAAGGCATAGTTTTAATGAAAATCCATGAACAAGACCTTTTTTATAGTGAGAATGGCTCTCCATTTCCTTGCCAATGTAGTAGCTTTGAGAGGAAGGTTTACAGTACACTGTGGAAAGCAGGCTGTAAGATGGCCCTCACTGGTCCCTGCCTCTTCATGTTCATTTCTTTGTATAATCCTGCTCCCTCTGAGTTGGGCTAGACCCCTCCAACCACTTCTGATAGTCAGAATATGACAAAACATTAGATGACACTTCTAAAATCAAATGCTAAAAAGATGTGACTTCTATCTTGCTGGCACTCTTGTGGAGCCCTTCTTCTAGGGAAGCAAGTAGCCATGTGTGAGAAGAGGTCTGTGTGGTAAGGAAATGATGTCTCTGACAACAGTCACAGCCCTGGCTAACATCGTGACTGTCGCCTGTGAGAGAGGCCCTTTGAAAGTCAGAGGCTTCTGGCTAAGTCACGTCATGACTCCTGAACCACAAAAACTGCAAGACAATAAATGTTTATTGTTTTAAGCTGCTATGTAATTTTTTAAAGCAGCAAAGGGTAACTAATACATACGCTAACATGTGCCTACAGCAAACTGATTTCCTTTCTCATTGTTACTACTGGTCCTCTACTCCTTCCTAAGGAGAAATTATTTTTAACTGAGGGCTTTAGGGGAAATTGCCCTGGGATGCCCAAGACTAGTCACATACTGGGAAACACAAGTTGTTTCTCTATATGAGGATTACAAGGGGAAAAAAAAGTTAATTACGGCAGTTAAAAGACGTTTTTTAACTTCACTGTTTTCTCATAAGAGAGAACTTATAAATATTATACTTTCAGAAACTCACACCATATAATAATGGATGTATAAGCATCACATTTAGAAAAAGACTAGACTACCACCAAACTGCCAATAGTGATTATCTTTGGATGGTTATTCTAAAATGAGCAAATGTTATTTGCATAAAAAGGAAAAAAATCTGTATTGATATATACACATGGACATTTGTAACTCAAATAAAGGAAAGTTATCAGGTCTATTTTTTTTTTTTTTTTTTTTTTTGACAGGAGCTTACTATGCTATTCTGGCTGACCTCAAACTCACTATATAGTCCAGACTGGCCTCAAACTCATCATCTTCCTGTTTCAGCCTAACTAGTGCTGGGATTACAGCTGTTACTATCATGCCCAAAGGGTCTATTATTTTAAAAGTAGACATAAGTGAGTAGTTAAAGATAGACACTCTGGAGCTAGAGTGTCAAGGTTCTGGCTCGACCTCTTACTAGTCTGTGATTTCTCATCAGCAATACAGGATGATGCTATTACTTTTTCTCATATGGTTATTCCTGTAATGCTTCTAGCACATAAGAAGGTACTGGGTAAAGGATAACCATTATTATCTATTATTGGCAATTCTCCACATAAAACACTAATAATTTTCTTCATTAAATTACCACTATCACTGAAAAGCTAAAAATAATAGTGTTTTTCTAAGAGGACTTTCTGTATTAATCAATGTAAAGTACCTCATTTCAGGTTTAGAAAGGGCTAGAACTTTCTTTTTTTTCTTTTTTCTTTTTTCACTGCTCAATTTGTCATCATGCAATAAAGTATCTGAGGGAAAATAGGTCAGCTGTTCTTTAAGTTTCTTTCTTATTTTCTTCTTAATATCCTTTGCCATTTCTTCAGCTACCTGGAGCTGATATGCTTCCACCAGTTGTTCTTCTAAATCGTTTTTTTCTCTCCTCTCATTTGCCTTATCACTTTTCTGATGTGTGGACGCCACCTTCTCAGGAGCTTCTGGTTCCATTTCTTGTGTGGGCGTTGTCACTTTTTTATTTGGCTTCCCTTGCTTGTCTTCCTCTACACTGACATCACCATTTGGATCTTCAGCTGCTGATTGTGTATTCCTCAGTTTGTTTTTAGTGACTCGTAGGCTCTTCTCTGAGTTATTAGTGTTAGTACAACTTATATCATCACTTATAGTTTCTTTAATATTCTGAAGATTGCTTCTAACTGTGGCAAACTAGGAAAAGAAGATACAAACCACAAAGGTTCAGTTAAACATAGTTTCAATACATAAAGGTAAAAAAAATGACTGATGTTCAACCATGTGAAATACTGGGAAGATTATTCAGTTTTTCCCTTGGTCAGAGTATTACTATTTTAGAGCATTTAATGAATACCAGTTTAAACTCCCAGAATAAGATTAGGAATCTCTAAAAGTAACGAGATTAAATGAGCTAATTAAATAACAAAGGGATAAACTACTTAATGACTTTTCCAAAGTCAATTACTCAAATCTTAATTCTTCATGGGCAGAATGATCCTAATTTTAATTCAATTTAAGACATGTTTGAGAAAATCTAAAAGAGCCACTGACAGTAAAACATTTCAAGTTCCCCAACAGAAAACATACACAGGTCATTTAACCTGCTTCACAATTACACTCTAAACCAAAAGTCTACAGCTCCAAGATGACCCTACAATTATTTGCCCAGCTGTATCACTAAAATGCTAAATATTAAATTAAATCAAATGATAAACTAAGAACACACTTATACTTCTTTCACCAGTCAAAATTATTTAAAATGAGAGATATTTTTAACAGAAAAAAATCAATAAACAGCTGAAAATCACAAAATAATGTTACTAGTTGTAAAATAATTATTTAGAGAAATTTCCTAAGGGTTTAAAAAAATAAGCAACATCTGCTCTATTAAGAAACTATCATAGCCAGGTGGTGTTGCAGGCCTGTAATCATAGTATTTGGGAGTGGGATGCAGGAGGATTTCAAGTGTGAGACCAGCCTGGGCTATGTGATGAAACTGTCTCAAAACAAAACAAAACAAAAAACTACTAGAGAAAACCACCATCTGCAGGAAAAGACTTTTCCCGGGGTAAGGGTAGCTCTAAAGAAGCTCTAAGAATCAGAGTAGGTTAAGTAGATGGAGGAGATAAGCTTGAGGATGACCAGGTGAGTGCTGGGATGGACAGCTATCACCATCCCACAGTGGCGACTTTCACCCACAGGATTAAGCAGCTCAGTGAGTATTTATGAGAGAAAAGGTAGTATGCTTCAGGTAGGTACATCCCCCAAGAGGTAGGAGAAGAAAGATTCTCAAATACAAAGATGACTAGACAACTAAAAACTAACAAACACTTAAAAAGTGAAGTAGCACAATGAAGGCGAGGCACCAAATCCAGCAAAAGAGAAAAATGATCACCAAAGAAAAATGAGTACCATAAACAAAAGTAATGTTGGGTCTGGAGACCTAAGGCAGATGAGTGAGTATCCCATCCCCCCATGGAGAGCACTATGATTCCTGCACCCTGAGAAGGAGCTGTAAACCCTGAATTCCTGCACCCTGAGGAGGATATACAGGGTCTCATAGATCTGCCACAGGGCTGATGAGCAAAATGTTCTCAAGATAGTTTCTCCTCCCCCAATAAACGGCAAAACAAACCAGTTCATCTAAGAAAGCCTGGGAATCCACAGCCAATGAAAAGAGCCCACCTAACCCTTACCCAAACCTTCAAAAGCTAAACAAAGCCTGCCTTTGGCAGATTTCTGGAAAAGGAACTCTGAATCCCTAGAATGTTGTGTTTGATAAAAACTTTTTGAATATCTGAGGCCTAATGCCACAGTGTACCAGTTTGACCTGATAGTTAATGTTAACAATATAATTGATGGGAATCATCTGTTTTTGGTCTGGGGGTCTGCAGAGTAGCTAAGGCCAGGGATACAGCATTGCATGCCTATGTGACTGACACCCTCACACACACCACAATGGATAGCAAGGCTTGGGTGAGCCTCCCTAGTTAGCAACAGTCTCACATGTTATCACACATTGTTATTGGTAGAGACTGTTAGGACCACGTCCCTAGAAGCTTGTACCTGGTTTCTACTGGACTGGGTCCCCTATGCCTTTTCTCTTTGCTGCCTGAAATTTAAAACAAATTTGTATTTTGTGCAGTTATCCAACTTTTCACTTCTACATATACTGTAATTCTACAACTGTTAGCACTTTTGCTTTAAATGTTATCCTTTAAGATACCTTTAAATGAAAAAAGTCTTCTACATCATATTTACTATTTCCTGTGCTGTTCTTTTATGTAAATCCAAATTTCTACTTGGTTAGTATTTTTTATTAACTATTTCTTATACTTCAGTTCTACTGACAATGAAGTCTTTCAGCTTTTATTAACTGTAAAAGGTTTTTATTTCACCTGCATTTTTGCAAGATTTGTCTCCTGAATATAGAATTGTAGGTTTATAATTTTTCTTTTAGTACTTTTTTTTTGGGGGGGAGGGCACTATGCAAGTACTCTGAAACTTGACCCCCGCCCTCAGCCCTTTTTGCTTTAGTTTGTTTTTAGTGTTTCACCTTTTAGTCCAGGCCAGCCTTGGACTGAGATTTTTCCTACCATTGCCTCTGTACACCTGGGATGACAGATGTGAACCACTGTGCCCAGCTTGATTTCTGAGATATGGTTTTGCTAACTTTTTTGCTTGAGCTGGACTCAACACACAATATTCTTATCTCCATCTCCCAAATATGTGGGATTACAGGTGTTTACCACCACACCCAGCTTCTTTTTTTAGATCTCACTATGGCTTTTGCCTTGAACCTCAAGCTTCCTATCACTACCTCCTGAGTAGATGGAATAGCAGGTGTACATATCTGGCCTTCTTTCAGTATTTAAAAGATGTTGCTCCATAAACCCCATTTAACAATCAATATACTCATAAAAAATGAAGGACAGAAGGTAAAACAAGTCCTATCTGGAGGTGGATAGCAGTGGCAGTAGGGAGGGTAAATGGAGAGGGAGAATGGCGAATATAGTCAAGGCATTTTATGTATGTGTATGAAAATTGAACAATGAAACCTGTTGAAATTGTTCTAAGAAGGGGAGAAGGGGAATGAGGAAGGGAGTAAATACAACTAAGATAACATTTTAAGTACGTATGTAAATGTGACAATGAAATCCCCTGAACAACTAACATATGCTAGCAAAAACTAAAAAGAGATAAAATGCAAAAAGAAAAAAGAAGTCGCTCCATTATCTTCCAGCTGGAAATGCTTCCAATGAGTCTGCTGTTGCTCTTTATTCCCCTAAACAAAATGCCTGTGCTTTTTTCTGGCTGCTTTTAAGATTTTCAGTGTATTCCTGGTTTTCAGCAGTTTTAGTATTGTGTACCTTGGTACAATTCTGTTCATATTTCTTCTGTGATTTGTTGAGCTTCTTTTATTTGTAGGTTGTTTTCATTAAATTTGCAAAACTTTTAATCATTACTTCCTCAAATGTTTTCTGTCTCCCCCCTTTCCAGACTTTAGATACATGTATGTTAAAATCCTAATGCTGTTCTACAAGTCACCGATGCAATGTTACTCTGACTCAGTTCCCCAGGCCTTGATGGTCTAGCCCACCACTGGTTTTGTTTGATTTAAATACTTTCTATTATTTCTTCAGATTTACTGATTTTTATGTAATCTCCAATCTGTTAAATCCATCCAGTCTAGTTAGCTTCTTATACTGTTTTAACTGACCTCTTTTCTAAAAGTTCTATTTGTCTCTTTTGTATCTCCTATTCTTATCCTACAGTCTGTTTCCACTAATTGATTTAGATTCTGATTACAGGTCACAATTTTTTTTTAATATATTTACTTTTTATATATTTATTTATTTTTTTTAAATATATTTACTACGTTGCATATGTTGCCTAGGCTGTCCTTGAACTCACAATTGTCCTGCCTCCACATCCCAAGTAGCTGGGACTAAAGGTCCATACCACCATGCCCAGCTTCTCTTTTTTAAAATGGCTGGCAGTGAGGTAGTCTAGAAAATAGGGAAAGTAGCCCTGAGCCTTTCAGGTGCCATGAAACTTTTCCCAGTGCATTTCATGTTAAACCCCTCTGAAAGACAAACCATGGGAGGTCAAGGAGATACTTCTCCTCCCTAGGGAACGCCCCTGTGCATCTGAAAGGCATCTCCACCCTCAGGCAATGCAAAAAAAAGCTATAAATCCCCACTCCCCTCCCTGACCAACAGGATCACCTGTTTCTGGGTCCCCCTACATTCCCCAATATGCGGTCTTTCTCTTTTCTTCTCTACAAATAAAATCTTTCCGACCTCTGCTGTTGAGAGTCTGCCTGTGCTTTCATTCTCAGAGAGGGCTCAAGAACCCTGAGCATCTAAAATTCCTGTGCGGGTCATCTGTGTATCACCTCCTCTCTTTTTTTTTTTTTAATTATACATTTTTTATTAGGCTATATTCATTATAGGGGGGATTTACAGTGACAATTCTGATTAGTCTTATATTACACATTATTTATATTGTTCCCATTATCTCTCCCCCTCAACCCCATCCCCACCCAACTTAAAACACTTACAAGGTTTTTTAGTTCTATTTCATATAGGTACATGAAAGTCCATCAACCATATACCTTCACCTTAATCTCATTCCTTTACCACTACCCACCCTGCACACACTGTGCCTATTTTACAGTCCTAGTTTTCATTATTAATATTTAAGTTCATATTTAAAGGGGCATCTCAATGTACGCCCACTGCGGGTGTGCTTCACTTTGATCTGTTCAATCCCTTCAAATATTCTCCCTTACCCCTTTATCTCCCATCCCCCTCCCCATTTTTCAACAGATTTCAAGACACATCTTTATATCCTCTACCTTCACATTTTATGGTATGCGATGCTACTGATACCTATCATTCTCTTTTCCTTTCTGTCTTTCCCTGAGTCCCATAGAACAGTTCCACTATTACAAACATGTTCTACAACTGAATTTGTATATGATCATGCTTGTTTTGGTGTATATGTTTATCTTGGGATCTATCTTCCACACGAGAGAAAACATGCATCTTTTGTGTTTCTGATCCTGGCTAACTTCACTTAACAAGATGTCCTCATAACATTATTCCTTGTGGCTGAGTAATACTCCACTGTGTATATATGCCACAATTTCATGATCCATTCATGAATTTTAGTGCATCTGGGTTGTTCCC